AAACTTCATACAATGCATCATTAGCTTGTGGAACTGACTGCCCCAGGATGTATTTTAGAGTGATGGCTACTGGAATAGATGTGTTTAAAAGGGATGGTGGTTATATGGAGCTATACTTAAAGGTATAGCCTCTGCATCCCAGTTGTTGGAGCAAGAACAAGGAGGCTTTGGCCTTTATGTCCTGCTTTTAAGTTTTCTGGGGCATCTGGAAAACTGGATGTATCTCGGTCTGATGCAGCAAGATACTTCTTGTATGCTGCCATATGATAAATCCACTGGCAGAATCTCAGGTAATAATGGGTTGGGGAACATATATTTTGAGCTTGGGGTAAGAATTGCAGTTTTAACATTGAAGCATATTTTCTGCTTTGTTGGGAGATATTTTTTTTTTGGGGGGGGGGTGTTTTCCTGATGCTACATTGTTGGAATATGCCTGGTATATACCTTGAACCACAAGGAAAGGCAAGATATAAATGTTTTAATTAATAAATGTAAAACGAAGCATCAGTGGCAGCTGCTCTGGCCACTATTTCCAGCCTGCTAGTTCAAAAATGAAAACAGGAACACTTGGGACCAAATCCATGAGAGTTTAGGTGAGGGCCTAATAACATCTAGCTTAAGACTACTGCAGTGTGATCCTTTTGGGACTGTACTTGAAGATTGTCTAGAAGCTGGCTGCAATTGATGCAGTTTCAGTTTCACTGTAGCCTTGTTCCACCTACACTGGCTCCCAGTTTACTTCCAGGCCCAATGTGAGGTACTGGAATTGACCTTGAATGGCCCTGTACAGCTTGTGGCAAACACCTTAAGGACTACCTTAATGTGCAGCACATGCACATTTAAGTCTGTTTTTAAAACATCTTTGTTGGCAATAATATTTAATATTTTGTTGATTATTGCAAGGCACATTGATCATGAGGTAAGGCATGGACACTTTGCATAAATAATCTGTAGGTAAGACTAAAGGAATGTATTCCGGACAACCTACCGTATAGATGAACAGCAATTATTGCAATATAGTGTAAGCATGAAAAAGATGCCGTATGTTGTTCTGAGTCAGATCTACAACCCAAGTTGTACAGGATGGACCAGTAGAGATCAGGCAAACTCTGGTTTAGTATGAAGAATCTGATTTGTATGAAAAATTTCTGCTGTCTGGTAATTAGTTCACTTTAAATAAATTCAAGTACCACTTAACAATCCTTCCACATTTCCCACTCAGTTGCTCCTCTTGACATCAAGTATTTTCTCACATGAGGCTTAAATTATGTTCTGGTTTCTGTGCTATTTTACATGAATGTGCATGCTATATTTGCTATTCTATATTTCTGTATTTGTAATTCAAACACAGTTAAGCAAAAACAAAACAAAAAAAGCTCTGAACCTCATATGTGACAACAGGCATAGAAGACTCTTCTCCCCTCAATATACTTCCAGAAATCCTTGCATGCATTGCATCAAGTGCTGCTAGTTAGTGCTGAGGGCTGCCAAGAAGCCAGAAAAATCTCCAGCTTGGCTTGCTTTTGTACCTTTTAACAGCAGCTATTTTTGTAGAAATCAGCAGGGCAAGTTTTGCATAGCACAGAGATAAGTGTGATCACTGGCTTATGTCTGCAGGTCAAGCATTTCATCACCTCTCTTCTGGCAGTGGTTTCCCCTCTGAGTAGTGAGTTAGTATACTTAGACCCTAGCACACAGTAATTCTTTTGGGGAAGAAACCATATGGTTAAGCTGTTACCAGTCACTTGGGTCCCTGGCGCTAGTTTACGTAGAGACATAGCCTTGGACAGACACACACAGTCATAGGAGGCCAAGAACATAACATCTGCAACATATTTTTTAAAGAGCCAAACACGGTTGGTTTACTTTCCTCAAGGACCAAATAGGCATATCTTTCAAAGCTTGATATGTAATGTAGCAAAGCAACATTAATCCTGATCCACCAGCGAGAGGTGTGAGAGAGTGGGTGTGTACAAGGGTGCCCCCTTGACCTTTTTGAAGCCCCCCCCCCAATAAAAAAATCCTAGCTACGGGCCTGAACCATAAACGTACCACGATGAGTGGATAGACTGGTGGGCATGG